GAGACACAGAGGAACACTCAGCGTTCCCTTTGCCAGGGGCCTTCTCTCAATAATGAGCCCCGAACATCCCGCCCTCAGAGAAGCAACCGTTCACTGGCACTTTGATGGCACGCAAAAAGATGCAGCTGAGTTCCTACATGCGCTTTTGTCTTCGCAGGCTGAGGACATCCTCGGACGATGGGAGTCTAGGACTCAGATTGGAGACGGCGCAATCAGGGAAGATGAGGGGACAGCACCAATACTTTTACCGCAAACACCAGAATGGACAATTCAGACCATTAGAATAGCCTGGCACTCTCAAGCGTTTCTCCATGCCTTGGCAATGGAGTACGAGCATGTTGCGATACAGATCCCCCGCTTCGTTCACCGCAACAAAAATGAGCAGCCACTACCCGTTCCGGAGACGGTAAGTATCCCGCTTTTTTTGGGGCCGGACCTAGGAGTTAGCTGGAGGGACTTTAAGATAGTGGCGCTCGTTCACCACATTGGGCCCTCCCCTCACCAAGGACACTACAGGACTTGTGTGCTGAAGGACAGTCAGTGGTATCACGCAGACGACAGTGCAGTTCCGCACTCAGTGGATGCCATTCACCCAGCGATTCAGTCCGGCATTTATCTTCTGTTCCTTACGAAGATTCGGCTGTAGCAAAGAGTGGAGTTACTCCCAGCGGTAGAGTTGCTCCCGCCATGGCACTGAGCCAGCTGTTCCAAAGTCAAGGTGCAAAGAGAGCGGACACCTCCACGCCATCGCCTCCGAAGAGACAAAAGCAATCCGCTGCTCCCAAAGGCAAAGGCCGAGGAAGAGGCAGCTCAGTTCCAGATGCTACCGCTGACTCTGCCCTGATCTCAGCAATGGAACACCCTGTTGCCATTGAGCAACGAAGCAGAAAGGACAGTGTGTAGAAGGCAAATGGTTTTTCGAGGCCTGGTCACCAGAGCTGAAGAAGCTGACAACTACCGCTACAGAGCCTATGGAATCCAAGAAGGTGAAAGATACCATTAGCAGAGTGGTTCACATTAACAGAGAGCACCCAGGCTGCGTCAGAATCTTTAAGGCTTCTCGCCGGTTGACGGAGAACATGGCCGGCGGGCCGGTCAGGGTAATGATGCAGTTTTCCATCAACTCGCCAACAGAGATCTTTCAGCTGCTGAACAGTCTCGTGAATAACGCAGTGTTTGAGCTGGTCAACGCGGACTTTCAACATCACTCACTTGTTCGCTCTCCGCTGGCCATTCAGCTGGGCAACTCGCTTTCCTGAAACAAGTCTCACTCGAGCGCTATTCAGAGCACTAGTGCTTGGGTTACCGGCACACATTAGCTCGAAGAAAGACCCAGCCACCGTGCTCATAGGAGATGCTCCTAGCCTGCAATCAGGGCCTCTCTGGAGTGAAAGGCGGCTCCCTCGGTCTTCCTCAGCGCAATAGAACAGTGTCGCCTTTCCTAGTGTCTAGGAGTTGCTCCAGATCTGTCCTAACATGTCCGCAACACGACTAAGGTGTAGTCGCGCAGACACTGTCCAGCCCTGCGTGCTTCTCAGAACACAGCGCAAAGTATTGCAGTTTCGTCGTCATTACAGCATCAAATATGAACCGAAGCTACCCAGCTCAAGGGCTCCACTTTCAACCTGTTTTAGGCGTCCTCAGCCATGGAGCCTTCCTGGAATGAGTATCAGGAGTATTGCCAACAGAGGGCAGCTGCTGGCAAGCCTGAGGTGACCTATAGAAACTGGGCCAGGCAGTGGATTCGATCAAGAAGATCTCACTATCAGAATGCCGCAGCGCCCCAGCAAAGAGAGGCCACTCAGAGAGCTCCACAGCAGCAGGCTCATACTCAGCAAGCTGCATCGCAGCAAGCGTCAACTGAGCCTGGACGCAAGAGAAGAGAGGCATCTGATCCCAGCGCTACTTACTCGAAGGCTACTGGTAGCAGCAGTGCGTCATCTAGAGGAGATGCTCCCAGATGGCAGCCAAAAGCTAAGACTGGAGGAGTTGCTCCCCAGCCACCAGACAGGGACAGCCGTGCGCTGGATACGAGATCGTTCCCAGCACAGTGCGTGCTAACGCTGGCGGATGCTGGCATGACCCCATTTCCTGCAGCCTCATGGAGGAGGTCTGGGTCCATTGAGGACTTGAACGTTCATCGGATCAGTCGCACTGTAAATCAGGTCTTCCTGGACGTGCTTCCGAGGATGGGCCCATTTACAGCCAAGCAGGCGCAGGCACTGATGACGACATTCTTCACGACGAGAGTTGGCTATGACATAGACGATCTACAGCGGAAGCTGGAGCACGCGACTGTCACTGGTGCGTCAGGCTGGTTCAGGTTTGCTATCCGAACGGAAGCACCAACCTTCCAGACCACTCCGCAGACAGCGTATCATGGATCACACCCCGAAACCCTCCATGCCATCAGAGCGCTCTGAAGCCTGGCCTCCTGAAGGAGGCAGAGACGCCTTCTACACCCTTGCCACCTGCTTCGGTGCCAGGAGGAGTTGCTCCCCAGGCACGAGAAACACCGCCTCCAGCAGGATATGTGGGTGGAGATGTTCCCTCACAACCAGCTGTAGCACAACCAGACAGCACATCACCTGGAGACGTATGGCTTGGTGCCCCTGGCACTTTAGGACCCTTCAAGCCTGACGCAGTCAACCCCAAGAGTGGGTTCTCTGAGGAGGTCTCAAAGGCTCTCACTTCATGCCTGAGACACGGAAATGGTCCAAGAATCAACATTACGCCGGCAGGTTACGCTGAGCTCTCTGATATACTTGCGCTCCCTCGCCTCAAAAAGATACATGAGGTAGTGCGGCACTCAGCAAAAGACAGATTCCAATTCAAGACAGAGAATCAGACAATACTCCTCCGGGCGGTTCAAGGACACAGCCGCCGTGACCTTGACGACCACCAGGCGTGCACAGTCCTCCAGCCAAACGAGGTGCCGACGTTATTGGCGCATGGGTCGTACTGGCGGCACTATGACTCTATTTTCCATCATGGACTTCAACCCGGTGGGAAACACTCTCAGAGACGACATACCCATATGATAGACGCGGATGTACCGCAATCCGAGATTCGTTCCGGATTTCGGGACAATGTCGAAATGATACTGTTGTGTTTTTGACAGCGCAAATCCTTTCCCCCATTTACTTTCGGAGCTCTCGTGATGCCGCCTCGGGCACCGAGTACGACAACAAAGGCAGAATATGCGCCTGCGGTCCAATGGAGGAGTTGCTCCCCAAAAATCAACAGGTTGGAGTTACTCCCCATGCATACAGAGCTCTCGCCTATGCTCTTGACCTTTGTTGGCCGCAGACCACTTGGTCTACGTTCACAGATATGAGCCTTTTTCGGACTGATGCAAGGACTCCTTAAAGAGGAACTCTGACGCCGCATAACCGCAAACAAGATAGCTTGCCTGCAGAGTCTTGCCTGAGTGCCGTCTCTTGCTAGAAGCTTAGACTTTCAGGTTCAAGCCCCGCGTCACAATAGCTCCGGCCTCAGTTATTTCGTCCTGCAGTTCCTGGCAATGACAGTAGTCTTAGAGTTCGCTGTCCCACCGGTGCCTCATGACTGTGAGATGCTTTTCGCCTGGACCTCAAGCTTTTTTTAGTACTTCCAATGAGAGGACACATTAACACGGTGCTGATTCCACAACTGCTCAGTCATCCTGAGTCAGTGGATGAGTCATGGTGGGAGATCGAAGCCCCGTCGATTCTAGGACTGGCGTCTCCCAGATTCAAAGAGAGCATCCTGCATGACGATGCCTGTAGTCCCATGGACAGCTCGGAGGAAGCAGAAATGGAGCAAACCGCGTTCGCAGAGATAGCCGAACTGGAGGACCTGATGAGTTGCTCATCAAGCGAAGTGTCTCAAGCTACACAGGGACCGCCCCCTCTGCCAGTCCCTGAGGTTTTCTTCAACCTACTTCTGCCAGTCTACCAGAGCAACTTGATCTAAGCTGTTCTGAGCCCAGAAACAGAATAGAATCCATGGCCAAGAAAGCACTCCTCCTGTGCACTGCTTGACCACTTACCCTCGCGAAGACGCAGTGTTCAGGCAAAAGGTGCCTATGGTATCAAGCCCGCCTGCACATTCACCTCCGGGGCCTATGTGCATGGTCCCTTCACTGGATTGCATCAGGGCACTCTGAGGTTTGAGCTTCTTGTAGTGCTATTATGTGCTATTGGTGACTATAGTGCGAGGAGGCAATCGCAATCAGCAATTCACCACGCTTACGCTAAGCCGCAATGCCCGGACTCAGGTCCACAGAGATAGTCATAACAGCCCCACATCCAGAAATGCAGTGATGCCAGTCACATTCTTCCAGGGGGGCGAGCTCTTGGGAGAGCACGCACACGGAGAGTCGCAACTACTACCAGGTGGCCCGAGAGGGCGGGTTGAGCCGCTCTGGGCAGATGGTTCCTCTTCGACTGTGATGCTTTCGCTAAGAAGAATGCATACAAAGTTACCATGGTCCGGAGATAGAACCGTCCTGATCGCATTTCATATACGTAACGTCTCTTGGCTGTCGCGAGAACATGCCACAACACTGCAGCAAATAGGCTTTCCTTTTCATTATGAATGATGGAAACTGGCGGAAATAGAAAACAGCTTGCAAGGGAGTAGCTAAGCCTGGCCCTCGGTCAACTCTTCGAACGTTGGTACGGCCAGTGCGTTGCATCTGAAGGAGCACACAGGGACAACTGGGCCAGGAGCTGAGCAGTCGATGCAAAACAGAATGGGGTTAGACCATTTATTTCTTTCTACAGCAGTGCGTTGCTGCCTTTAGGGGCGAGCGCACGTACCGTGCAGCGTTCAGGTGCGGCGGGCTGTACCAAACACAGCCACGACTGCTCCCTGGGTCGCGTTCGGAGAGGTGATTTGCTGCCTTTAGGGGCGGAATCACCCCTGGCCGTGGCCGCGAACTCAGATGTAGCCAGTGAAGAAATTAAGCATTCCTGGTCCAGCCGCAGCAGTGCTCAAACAACTCCGAAGCCTTAGCAATGCCCTTCTACCAGATGCATCCCACCCGCGCACTTGAGATGCTCATGCCGGTAGTGGCGATACAGCTTCTTCTCAACGAAGCCACGGCGAGCACTGTCAGCCTAACAAACCAGGCTCCCGGCCTTCTTCTAAAGCGTCTTCAGGAAATCTTGACCAACATCGTTTTGCTCTGCCGAACTCAGGAGTGGTATGCCACACATCATCTCATGTGCAACTACTGCCGCGAATTCTCCTCTACGCAGGTGCTGCTCATTGAAGAAGCAAGAGCAGCGCTGGTTGAAAGATTTGACGAGGACTATGAGATACAGCAGCAAGGATTTATGATCATTAGGCAGATCGGAATAGGACATGTTCTCCTTTACCGCGAGCTTAACTATGTCTTCAACACCACCCTGTATCTCGCTTTCACGGCCCGGGAAACAGTTCATGATTTCAATCATGATCTCCGCTCGATCATGTGGTACTTCTTCCAGCAGCTGTCCACCGAACATGGCACCATCTGGCAGGAGACAACATCAGAGCTCTTTGCCCAATTCCATTCGGATGATCTACGCTTGGAGGGAGCTAGGAACCTCTGGAATCAAGAGCTGGCCGATGCGCGGGAGGAACATTGGCAGAGACGACCATGCGCGGGAGGTAGGATAGTTGATCTCCTTCCCAGCAGATTTTTAATTTCTGTGAGATGTTGACCGGACTCTCATTAGGCCTCAAGTAGCGGAGTTGCTCCCTCGCAGTCGACAGCTGAACGGGACTAATCATTGCTGAGAGCTAAAAGGTCGTCAGCTTTACGAACTTTTTCTTGGCAGTTAGGCTTAAGTCTTCTTCTGAGAGGTCAATCTTCTTCTGCCCCGTGCTCAGAATTCCAGCTGTGGAGATGCTCCCACTTACAAAGCCGTGTCAAGGCTGTGCATGCATGAAGACTTTTTGCTTAGAGCTAGTTACTGACGCCGAATGAAGCCTTATCTAGAGCTCGTCGTAAGCCAGCAAACGCACCAGCTTCTTCCCCTGACTCTATGTACTGAGGCCAAGCAAGTCAAGACTTCGATACCTCTGAGGACGCACTGCATGCAGCTGCTGTAGTACTAAGTTGCAGGAGCGCCCGTGATCCTTGATGTAAGCATACCTCTGCTCACTACAGCTGTCGCCATATCTCTCAAGCATCTCTACCTTGCCGATAAGCAGCCATGACCAGGGCAATGGAGATGCTCCTGCCAACACTCGCGTTCTACCTCTTCAGGAGGGGTCGTGTTTCTCCCAATGGACCAACGCCACAGGAAGCCGTGGAAGCCTTCCTCTCTCTGCTGAATGATCTCAAGCAGTCTGTGGGGCCCAGGAAAATGCAAGCTATGGCTGAGATCTTGGTGTCCCACGCTTCGCAGCTGTCTAACAAAGCCATCGTAACCCTTGACTCAGTCATGCGGTCCCTTGACTTCCAGTACAACGAAACGCATGACATAAAGCAGTACAGGCTGCGTTGCATGAGAGAGCTTGCTGTTGCTATGAACATGCTCTTTCTTACCACTATCGGCATTCGTCCACATCACCTTGCAGTGGAGTCCCTGGTGAGATCTTCAGACGTCTCAGTGGCACCCCGTGAAAGAGACGTAGCAAGCGTCTTTGCTGACAACATGGATACAATCTGGGCCCAAGCCTACACGACAGCAGTGCAGATGCTACAACAAGACTTTTACACTGACGATCTGAGATTCACGGAAGCCAGGACAACATGGGCGCAATCGGTGGAAAGAGCTCGAGTTGCCCTTCAGCCATAAAGCGACTTGTCCGCAGAGGAGTTACTCCCTGCGTTAGGAGGTGCTCCCTTTGTATCTTGGAGTTGCTCCCTGTCAGATGTGAATTCCTGACCTAGACGAATTTTTAATCGGCTGCTTCACCACTTGCCTGATCCGATGCCAAAAGCCGCCGTATACTGCATTGGCCTTACTGCGACCAGCATACCCCACCACTTTTCTCAGTCACTGACTACTCAATTCCTTCAGGACGGATGCGATGAAGACAAGTGAGGACCCCAGCTGATGAGTTGCGACAAACCAGGCTGTTCTGAAATATGTCGGCGTCAAAAACCAAATGTGAGGAGTTGCTCCCCCACAAACATTGACAATCTTGCTCCTGAGGTATACTCTCATGAAACTCCGATCCAAGAGCTCGAACTATCGGGCCAAAGAAAACATGCGCTGCAGCTAGCATCTGCAAGACATAGCAAGGGCAGCCTCTGCTCTGTCTGGACTGCTCAGCGTCAGTAGTTGCTCAGCTGGCTCACTACTCGCAAAGCGAGAATTTTCACCCGACCAGGACAAGACTCTTTTTTCGCTGCGTGTGAATGAATGTTGTTGTTGCTGCTGCTGCTGTTGTTGTTGTTCACCAAGCGTCAAGGACACGCCATGCGAGATTCGTTCGCGGCATCGTGAGCGAGCGAGCGGGCGAGCGAGCAAGCGAGCGAGTGAGTGAGTGATTACTGTTGTTGTTGTGGTTTTTGTCGACGTTGTTGCTGCTGCAGCAGCAGCAGCTGCTGGTGTTGTTGTGGTGGTGGTGGTGGTGGTGGTGTTCTTGCTGCTGTTGTTGTTGTTGTTTCTGTTGTTCTTGTTGTTGTTGATGTCGTTTGTTGTTGATGTTGTTTGTTGATTGTTGCTTATTGTTTGCTGTTGGTTGTTTGTTCTTTGTTGTTTTTTTGTTTGTTTGTTTGTCTGCCATTGTTAAAAATGCACTTCCCATGTGATCAAATAGGCCAGTCATGACATGCCAACTTATGTTGGCTCAAGACTTGATCTGCTTGTTGCTTGTGGCAGAAAGGACTTGTGTGGATGCAGCTTAGGAACACTTAGGTGTGCCTTTGTGTGTTGCTACTTGGAAGACCTCAGTTACTTTTTCAGTCATCGTCAACGATGACATAGCACGTCAGTGCCCATACAGTTCCGCTTTTGCTCATGCTTTGGTAGCTTGGGCTAGTGAGTTGAGATGGGCCACTTGCCACGCACATGCAAACACATCTATGACCGAACCACTCGTCAACTTCATCTTTTGCACTCGTTTACGTCCTCCCATTAACGTCATCAAATTCCGCCAGGGAAAGCGACCATTGTATGTGTTACGTGGAGATTGCGCAAACGATGTGCCTTTTGAAGCCTACACCTTCGCCGAAGATTTGCGTACTTTCCAAGCAGCCATCAAGTGGTTCAGGAAACGTATGGGTGTAAATTTGTTGCCAGGTGATGTCTTGACAAACTGTCGAAGTTTGTACATTCTGGGATATAGTCGCCCTACCAAAGGGGTTGCCTACCGCGTTAAGCATATGTGTGAGCCGGACCCCCGTGCTCACCTTCAAGAAATCTTCATGCAACGTTCAGCACGAAAGCGGAGGTTCGATTTCCATATCAACCCTCCGCTTATTTCAAACTCTTGAAACATTTGTTAATACCCATTGTGACATAGCCACGCACCTGCCGGGCTATGTTCACTGTAGCTCGGACTACACAAAACGTCAAAGTCAAAATGTTTGTTTGTTTGTTTGTTTGTTTGTTTGTTGGTTTGTTGTTGTTGTTGTTGTTGTTGTTGTTGTTGTTGTTGTTGTTGTTGTTGTTGTTGTTGTTGTTGTTGTTGTTGTTGTTGTTGTTGTTGTTGTTGTTGTTGTTGTTGTTGTTTTGTTGTTGTTGTTGTTGTTGTTGTTGTTGTTGTTGTTGTTGTTGTTGTTGTTGTTGTTGTTGTTGTTGTTGTTGTTGTTGTTTGTTGTTGATGTTGGTTGTTGTTGATGTTTTGCTGGTGTTGATGTTGCTTGTTGTTGATGTTGTTTGTTGTTTGCTGTTGGTTGTTTGTTCGTTGTTCTTTGTTTTTTGTTGTTTGTTTGTGTGTTTGTTGGTTGTGGTTGTTGTTGTTGTTGTTGGTTGTGGGTTGTTGGTTGTCGGTTGTCGGTTGTCGGTTGTTGGTTGTTGGTTGTTGGTTGTTGGTTGTTGGTTGTTGGTTGTTGTTGTTGTTGTTGTTGTTGTTGTTGTTGTTGTTGTTGTTGTTGTTGTTGTTGTTGTTGTTGTTGTTGTTGTTGTTGTTGTTGTTGTTGTTTGTCGTCGTCGTCGTCCTCGCCGCCGCCGCCGACGCCGTCGTCGTCGTCGTCTTCGTCGTCGTGGTTGTGGTTGTGGTTGTGGCTGTGGTTGTGGTTGTTGTTGTTGGTGATGATGTTGTTGTTTTTCCGACTATATCAGCAGCAGCACCATCGACACTGTCAGCATTAATTACAAAATGCACTGCAGAAAACCAAGATAAAGGAGAATGCGTGCCAAGAACGCATAAGAAGTACAAGGCGGACATGCGAGTAGGCATGGCGCCAGGAAACGACGCATAACAAGTACGAGGAAGTACGCCTTCTGGTATGCCCTGTGTCTTGTACAACAAAGGAATGGATTTTGCACAACAGACGACAAGCAGTGCTATTGGGAAGGGGCCAAAACCTAAGACGGTGTAAGAGGTTGAAGGCTTTGATTCTGGGATTTTCTGTAGGGGCAGTAGGATTGAAGGACAAATTGGGTTGATCATACCCTTAGTGTCGACTTACCGTGCATTTTTTGTCTTCCTCCTGGGCTTGACGGCCAACATGATTTCACCCTTGGCAAAAACTCTCGCTGCAATCTTCACCAAGCTACACCGGATAAGCGTCATCCACGTGGTTCTGAAACCGCTGCTCAGCCTCCGCCTACAGAGCTTGGGTAGTGCTTTAAAATGCAAAACATCAAGCTGCAGATGATTGCACTTGCTCAGTCCTGCGTGAGGGCCATGCCAGAGGGCCTGCAAACAACTGGCTGCAGCATGAGAAAAATGATTTTGTCAAGGTTTGCTAAAGCATATCCGTACCTTGCAGATTGACTGCTTTTGGGATCGAAAAAGCCTTCCGTGACTTCGTGTTCCGAGTAACTAGTAGATTGGTAGATGTGTGAGGGGATGTTGCTCAGCACAGGAGAGGGTTGGAAGCAGGTTGGAAAGATATCCTCCACAGAAGGGTTGCAAGAAAAAAAGAAGAGGGTAGGCAGACGTTCATGACGTGCTGGAGGGCCATGTGCACGAACCCTCTCGCAACCAAAGCCTACCACAAGAGCTCCTTTACCAGAATTTGCTCAAGTTCCCGCCTCACAGGTAGATAAATCATGCCGCTGACTCGTGTGCAGAAATAGGACATTGCGCCTACAGGACAATACAGGGCCATTACAAAATGGTCTCCATGTTGTTTCTGACTGGAAGAGGGTTGTGCCACATCCCAACCCTTTTACCACCTCGCCTTAGTCTAGCTCTGGCCTTTAACTTCCACCCAACCCCACTGAGAAAACCCAACCCAGGCCGAGCACTTTGAGCAACACAACCAGGAAACCCTGCTCTTGCACAACCACATCAACGGCAGGTGCCAGCAAACCACACATTCTTACAACCCGCTTTGATGTGAACAACGTCAACCAAGAGCGCTATTTATGTGCATAGAACTTAGAACACCTATTCACAGGGCTCCTGGTGGTGCCGCTGACGCTAGCTGCCGATTGATGCAAACGAGGTTGCAAGGGGATTTTGAGCAAGCTATGGCTTCGCTCACCGAGAGCGCACATGCTTCAATCTAGAACAACGGGTCTGTTGTCGTGGTTCAAGCTACGCGAGCACGTTCGAAAACTTCGTAGCCCAATGGGCTAAACAACTGAACTCC